TTTCGATGTCTTTCACAGTTTTCTTGCAAGTAAGTAGGAGCTGATAAGGAAATCTTCTGGAGGAAAGTAATGTAGCAGTAGTTCTGCTTTTCTTTATTATGATGAGTAACATATGTGTTTACCTTTATTTTGATTTTTTTTTTTTTTTTTTGAGATGGAGTCTCGCTCTGTAACCCATGCTGGAGTGCAGTGGCACGATCTCGGCTCACTGCAATCTCCGCCTCCCTGGTCCCGGTTGAAGCAATTCTCCTACCTCAGCCTCCCAGGTTAGCTGGGATTACAGGCACGAGCCACCATACCCAGCTAATTTTTGTACTTTTTAGTAGAGAGGGGGTTTCCCCATGTTGGCCAATCTGGTCTTGAACTTCAGACCTTGTGATCTGCCTGCCTCAGCCTCCCAAAGTGCTGGGATTACAGGTGTGAGCCACTGTGCCCGGCCTGATTTCTATATATACACACATAGTGCAGTGACTACTGCATAATGTTTATTGATCAATATACTGATTTTTGGGACAGGAAAATAGATTGTATGACTTGGCATAAGAAAAATGTATATTAAAAAAATATAAGAAATTCTTCTTGCTACTTAATTAAAGCTCTAGACTAGGTGAGAAACCATGGTTTTGCTAACAGGTCAAGGCCTTAAAAGTATTTAGTGGCTTTGTTTTTCAAAATTAACTTAGAGTGTGTGTGAAATGTTTAGTATGATGAACTCTGATTGCTACCATCTTTTGTTTCAGACTGTGAGCATGTGCAGCCTCCACAGTGGCTCCAGACTCTGATGAATGCTTGCAGCCAAGCAAGTGATTTCAGTGTTCAGAGTGTTGCTATTTCACTAGTCATGGACCTGGTGGGACTGACACAGTCTGTGGCCATGGTCACTGGGGAAAACATCAACAGTGTGGAGTCTGCACAACCCTTAAGTCCAAACCAGGGAAGAGTAGCTGTGGTTATTAGACCACCCCTCACTCAGGGCAATCTGAGGTACATAGCTGAGAAGACTGAATTTTTCAAGGTAAATTCTAAGAAATGCATACATGACTATGAAAATTACAGCCATGTATGATACTTGGCCTAGTTTGCTTTAAGAATTATTTTAAAGATGATAATAAAGCTTCATTAAACACCTCTTAATATGTCATACCATGTAGAAAATGATGCCACAGCTGATATACATACTGCTCTCCCCATCTTATTCCCAATTTTGTGAGCAGGGGAGAAAGATAAGGATAAAGGAATAGGTATGTTAGGATAAAGAGAAGTATTAGGGCACTGAGGCCATGGAGGAAATAATTTCAGCTAAAAGAGGAAAGCAGTAGAACTTACTTTCAAGTTAAGTGGTTGTGACACTTTTGCTTTTCATACAGCGAAATCTCAGCACTCCAAAACACTCATGAAAAGTTTTTCTCTTCATATTGTCTCATTATCATCTGTGGTATATAAAGTCATTCAGAAAAAAATTCCGGAAATTCATTCTTTGATTTCTACCACAATGGTATAAATATTATTCTCTATAGCAAACATCAAATAGATTTGGATTGTGTACATCTTAAGCAGGTAGATTCTTTATACCGTACATTAAAAAAAAAGTTTTAAAATCTGATTTCATGTCATTGTGCCCCTTCAGATATTTCCTCCTGCTAGAGTTGATTTCTATAGTATTGTAGTGAAGCCTGAAGATTATTGCATTATTATTATTACTAATTGCATTATTATTAATACTGTCACAGATCAAGTGCTGTGTTAGCATATATAGCTCTGAAATACCTATTATCTGTTTTATAGGTTTTAAGTAGTTTGGATATTTGGACTATGAATTATTTTTCACTCTGTAATATACAACCATAAATATTAAATTGCATTCAGTGTGGGATTTGTATCTTATTAAGGATAATTTATTCTAGCATCACTTTACCAAACATCACTAAATAGTGAAACGGGGTCTTATCTGGGCCCTGCAGAAAACATTTACCTATCTGATTTTTCTTTTTCTTTGAGACAGAGTCTTTCTCTGTCGCGTGATCTCAGCTCACTGCAGCTTTCACCTTTCAGGTTCCAGTAATTCTCCTGTCTCAGCCTTCCAAGTAGCTGGGATTACAGGTGCATGCCACTGTGCCCAACTAACTTTTTGTATTTTTAGTAGAGACAGGGTTTCGCCATGTTGGCCAGGCTGGTGGCAAGCTTCTGACCTCAGGTAATCCACCTTCCTCGGCCTCCAAGATGTTGGGTTTACAGGCGTGAGCCACTGCGCCCAGCCAACATGTCTGATGTCTAAAAATAAATATCATTAAAGGACTGTCATAAAAGGTTCCAAGGGCTTGGGTGATCAGAAAGTAGGCACATGGAAGACTGCACTTACTAATCTCTTCCCCGTGGAATAGAATATTAAAAACTTTTCAGGTCTGACAGAGAGCAGGCATTCATTTGTACCTAATAGGAAATATTTGTTAAATAAATTTTTATGTATGGTATTGTGACTGTCACTTTTACATCTTTTTCTATAGCATGTAGCTTCAACACTGTGGGACCAGTTGGGAGATGGGACACCTCAGCATCACCAGAAGAGTGTGGAACTATTTTATCAATTACATAACTTAGTTCCTTCTTCTAGCATCTGTGAGGATGTTATAAGTCACCAGTTAACCCATAAAGATAAGGTAAATCCTCTTCTTATCTTGTGCACACTGACCTTCCGCCACACACACACACTATACTAAAAAGTAAATTAATAAAACTTTAGGGAAATTATTGCAATTAAGATGGGAGTAAGAGAAAATAGCTTGTTCACAGTGATCTTAATATCTATAAAATAAATGTATTCAGTTCTTTCTAGAAGCAAGTTCTTTACAAAAGCATCAGTAATATGAAAAATTAAGTAATTCAAAAATCAAATGCTGTGTTTATTTCATTGTTCAGGACACCACTTATGGATAATGATGTTTAGTATTGGTGGTCTCAGTTCTTGGGTCATTTAAAGAGGAACCAGTGGCGTCAAGGAACTTATGGATATATTAACTAATATATATGAAATGAAATAATGTATAAAAGTATATTTATAAGCCAGAGAATGCTAGTATGTGAGATTATATTATTTGCATTATTATACTACATATCCAAAATAAGAATTTTGTATCCTAATGTATGTGAAGTGTGATAAATAATTGAATCAGAGGTGGCTGAGTTATTTGTCAGCCTGAGAAGAAGTTGGAATAAGCATTTTGACTAACTTCATCAGGGTAATTTAATGATGTTTGTGATCTTCCTGTGCTGCTCTGTAATATAAATTAAAGATTTTATTGAAGAACTTTTAGAAGTGGATTGTCCTATTTTTTAAAAACACAAAATGCTAGTGAGTTTGAGTGGGTCATATTCAAAAAAGGAATTGTGTTAAATAAATGAAACATTTGGCAGAGGAGAAAGTGGTATATGATAGAGTAAATAAAAGGAATGAAAACTGTATTCCAAGAAAAATGTTAAAATTCTGTTTCTGCTATAATACATTTTTTTTTCAAAATTATTCAGAAATAAGATTTTAGATAAAGCACTCTAAGAATTTAAGTTTTACATTAGTATAAATCTAGGACTAATTATATGCCTATGTTCACTTGGGTAGTATTTCATTTTTAAAGAAATATTCCCAAGTTCTAAATAAAGACATACGTCCATGAAAGAAATTAAAATATCTTTTATTACTTAAGTTTTACATTTCTATTGGTTGATACAAATTCAGGCTTCGTAAGAAAAGCATGTATTAAGCTCATGGGAAAAAACAAGCACTCTTCTAACCTATCACAATCAATTTAGAAAGTTGCAGTCTGGTTTCTTGGGGCTGTTGCTTGGAGGATCCATAAATGCTAAGGAAAGGCTTTAAGAAATTTGGATAATGTGACAATTTCTACTTGATTATATTAATATGTGTTTATTATCTAATACCAAATGTGCTTGCCTTTCTAAATTATTTTACATTTTTCTACCCATTATTATGTTAATCTTTTCCCAGATAATCTCAAAAGTAGTTTAATATTTTTTTGTAGCAATAATTTTTAAGTATTTAAGTTTTTTTTTTAGTCAACTAAATCAGCTTTTTAAGTGATGAAGAACTATTTGGGATTAATGTATCATTTCTGGGACAAAAAAAATAAATAGTACAATATAATCAATTTTGACAACTAAATGTTTATGCTGAATGAAGGATGAAGTACTTTCTTGACTCTAGATGTGACATGTATGTTATTAACTTTTTTCTTCTACTGTTATACAATAATCTAGTAAACTCATTACTTAAAGTCTAAACTCGGTAATAATTATTTATGAGACAAGATGAGATGGTCCTTCAGGTTCAATATTTCTGTATGTATTTACATATTTTCTATGTTTCTACTTCCATAAAGAATATAAAGTTCTGCCGGGCGCGGTGGCTCACGCCTATAATCCCAGCACTTTGGGAGGCCGAGGCGGGTGGATCACGAGGTCAAGAGATCGAGACCATCCTGGTCAACACTGTGAAACCCCGTCTCTACTAAAA